GCTTATGTCCACTTCGTGTCCTTTGCACGGAGCGCAGTGAAGGACTTTGCTGAATCCCTTTCCTTCTGATCACACGCCTGTAGGGGAAGGTGCCCCGGAAGGCAGTGCAATAAACACGTGTGTGCGCCACCCCTGCCGCGTGCTCGCGTTTTTTCTCGGAAGGGGCGCCGGCTCCCCCCCGGCCCCCCGTGACAGCCATTCATCCGTGGGAAGCACAGCCAGGGCGCTGCCTTCAGAGCCGGCTGCCTGGGCTCAAGTCCCGCTGGACCAGCTGGGCCCCTCGGTCCGTGTCCCGGCCACTCGGGGCCTCAGCTTCCCCGCCTGGAACACGGGACCGTGGAGACACGCCAACCTGGCGATGGGAACAGTGGTCTCCAGCTGTGGCCCAGGGCGCCGGTCTCAGGGGCACCTGGTTCCCGCTCTGCCCGCACCTGTTCGGTTGTTTGGATCCAGTTTAGAATCTGGGGGGTTTCACCGCTGCTCTTGAAATCGCCTGGTCCGGCTGACCGCCGGCACCACGGGACACCGTTCGAAGGCCTTGACATGCTTTGTTTATTTAATTTAAAAAATGATTTTAGAGAGGAAGAGGGAGAGAGAAACATCCAAGGGAGAGACACATCCGTCAGCCGCCGCCCCCTGCGGGGGATGGAGCCCACAGCCCGGCCTGTGCCCTGACCTGGATCCAGCCAATGACCGGGCCCTGCAGGGGACAAAGCCCAACCAGCGGAGCCACAGCGGCCAGGGCTGGGGGCGGTTCTTGAATGTCGAGATGGAGGAACACACGTCAGACCGCAGTGCAATCAATCGCCATGTACGTCTCCAAGGCACCAGCCCTGGCACGTGCTGCGGCCTCCAGTCAGATTTGGGGAGATCAATTCATGTGTAGGCAACGCTAGAAGCCAGCGCCCCGTGCCTGGCGCCCCCTCGGCCAGCCTGGCTGAAACGGCGGCTTTTAAGAGGGAGTTGTTTAACCCTCCAGACGGGGCGCGTGTTGACCTGGCCCATGGCTGCCAGGGACGTGGGAGTCGTCACGCTTCTCAAGGTGGATGCTTCTGGGGCTCCCCCTCCCCTGCCC